GGGGGGGGGGCACTGGGCTGCCCACTGCCCCCTGCAACCAAGCCTGTAGCCTTTGCAGCGCAGGAGCAGGCACTGGCACTGGAGAGCTCCCTGCCACCAGGCCTCTTCCTGGGCACACTGCCCTTCTCACTAGCCCTGGGGCAGCACCCACCAGCTTGTGGGGGGACACTCGAGGGGCCCAGCCTGCCCTCCCTGCTGGCGGCCTCTCTGCTCTTGCTGCCCCTCGGCATCCCCCTGCCTGCTCTGGACCTGCTGCCCTCACCAGGGACTCTGCTCTCCACCCTGCTGCCCCTGCCCCCCGGGTCAGGGGAGAGGAGCCCCAAGGCCTGCCCGGTGCTGCCTGACCGACCCCCGCTGTTCTCTGTGCTGCCCGCTTTGCTCACTCTCCACCCTGCGCTGCTGGCCGCTGGGCTGGGCCCCCCCGAACCTGCCCCCACCGCCTCGCTGGTGAGGGAACACCCTGGGAACAAAGGGGTTGCCGTAGGCTAGAGAGAGAAGCAATGGGGGTGGTGGTATTTGCCCCTTGCAGGGAGGAGGAAGATGAAGGGGGAGTTTCCCCTTACTAAAGTGCGTTGGGGATGTTGGGTGAAGCTATTTCCCCACTCCAGGGGAAAGGGTGGTGGTCCCTGGGGGGGTTTGCCCCGGCAGATGTGTGGTCTCCGGGGTGTATTTGACCCTGGGGAAGAGGAAGGAGCATGTTTGTCTGCAGTGCAGTAGCAGGGGACCATTGTCCCGAGGCACTGGCAGGAGGGGTACTTGGCCCTGGGACAAGGGCAAGGGAGGGTGTTTGCCCCAGGGGGGAGCGCGTGGCAGGTATTAGCACTTGGATTGGGGTAGAGGAGGAGTGGCTGCCCCTGGGGAGGAACGTGAGGATATTTATGTGTCCCCAGGAGGAGGGTGCTTGCCCCAAGGGCATGGGAGGAGGATGAGGGGGACTGCTCAGTTTTTGCCCTGAGGGTGCCCCCAACTTGCCCCTCTTGCCGGCAGTCCAGCCTGGCCAGCCCCTCTGTGGCACCTACCTCGACTGACGCCCTCCCCACCACTGCTGAGCCCCTGTGCGAGGAGGGCCGGGCCCCTGACAGCCCCACTGGCACCCCGGAGGCCCTCAACCTGCTGGGGTCCCACCTGGGCAGCTCCCTGCTTAGTGCCACGCTGCTGGGTGAGTGGGGCCAGGGGACTGGGCACCTTGGGGGCACCCCTGGGCATTGATGGAGGGACTGATTGGATGAGGGATACTGGGTGCCCAGTGGGGCACCGGGGACGTGCTTAAAGCCCAGGGGGGACAGGGGATGCCCCTGGAAGCTGGGTAACATCCTGCTTCTCCCTTGTCTCCCCCCAGGCAATCTACCGGTGCTGAGCCCCCTGCTCCAGAATCAGCCACTGCTGTTCCCCCTGGGGCTGTCGCTGTGCTCGGACCAGGACACTGCTAGCCCCCTGGCCGGCCTGCTCCAGAGCCTGCAGGTGGGCTGCTGGGGTGGGAGCATGAGGGGCAAGGAGGGCTGGAAGGGCCTGGGGACTTTGGTGGGGGGGACATGTGGGGGTGGTGGGGCCGGGCAGTAGTTTGTGAAGGGCATGGGAGGACACGGGAAAGGATGGGGGGAGGCCTAGGGTTGTCAGAGGGGGTAACGGGGGGACTTGGGGACCATGCGGAGTCTGGGGATGTCAGGGGGATGGGGGGCTTTGGAGGCTTGGGTGTATTGGTATGACATGGGGGTTGGGCAGGTGATGGGGAGACACAAAGGGAATAGGGGCCCATGGGAGTGCAGGGAAGATGCAGGGATGGGCTGGGCAGAAAGAATGGTATGGGGGCTGTATGGGACAAGGAAGGATGTGGGGAACAAATGGTGGGGTTTGCTGATCCTCACTGCCCCTTGACAGCTGTGCCCCAGGTTTGGCTCCCTCGAGAAGTCGGCGACTCTGTTGGGTCCCAGTGCTGGAGGCTCCCCCAACCCCTCTGCACCTCCTGGCCCCCTCGAGGTCACCCCAAGTGCCTTAGAGCCCCCTGTGCCCTGTCTGGCTGAGCCGGGCAGCCCCAGACCCAATGAGGGTGCCCGAGTGTGCCCCACTTCACATTCCCCCCTCAAGCGGGGCCGCTGGCGGGCTGAGGGGCTCAACAGGGAGACACCGTCCCTTTCTGGGCCCCCCAGCACCAAGAGCCCCCGGCGTGGGGCTGGCCGGCGGGGCTTGGGCACTCAGCGGCACTTCAACGGGCAGGTGGACGACAGGGGTGGGAAGGGGCTGCCAGCCACAGCCCCCCCGGCCCCCCCCGCTACTTGGCGCTGCATCGGGGACATCCTGGCCGCTGAGCAGCAGCTCAGAGTGGAGGAGATCAAGGTACTGGGACCTACCTACTGGGAGCTATTGAGGAATACTCGGTCCTGCTGGGGGGCATACCGGGAGCCCTTGGGTTGGATATAAGGATCCACAGGGTGCCAGTGGGGATATACTGGGAGGCACTGTGCAATTGTGGGTATTCTGGCGGCCATTGTGTGCCACTGGGAAGTACTGGGGGGCACTGGGAGTGTGTGCTGGGGCATATCATGGGGGACCAATAGAGAGATATTGGGATCCACTGGGGACATTGGGAGGCTCTGGGGATGGCAACTGGGAAGGCACTGGGAGTAGGTGCTAGGAGGAAGCCAGGACTGTGGGAGCTGTAGGGAGGCACTGGGTGGACTGGGAGACACTGGGGTACTGGGAACCCCCATGCTGACCCCCTCCTCACACAGGGGAGCTCCCTGCATCTGCGCCCATCCTGCCGGGGCTGGAGGAGGAAGGTCAGGTGAGCGTGGGGCACAAGGGAGGGTCCCTGCCACATTCCCCCACCCTGCCTGACCCCCTGGTCCTTACAGCACCCCCCAGCCCAGCACCCTCCTGGAGGCTCCGCAACGGAGGGGGCTCAGCGCCACCGCAGGGGCCAGCACTGCTGTAAGTGGGGCAGGGACAGCGAGGGGGAGTGTGGGATGGGGGAGGGAGATGAGAAGGGAATGGAGACTGGTGTGTCCCCCTACCTCCTCCATAATCTGTCCCCCCAGGTGGACCTGGCTGTGGCTCGGTGCCCGTGGGCTGGACGCCCCGTCAAGAGCCGCCGGAGGAAGCTGCTGACATGACAGTGCCAGGGTGGGGGCACCCCCAGCACCCACCTATGGATTAGGCAGGGGAGGCAGAGGCAACCCGCCCCCCTCTCAT